AAAAAATATTTGGCAATGACATATCTGACAAGGGACTTATCTCTAAAATTTATAGAAAACACAAACAAAAACGTCAACAACAAAAAGACAAATGTTCCAATTAAAAATGGGCAAAAGACATGAATAGATACTTCACTGAAGAGGATATTCAGGCAGCCAACAAACACATGAAGAAATGTTCATGATAATTAGTCATTCCAAAACCAAACTCACTTCCATCGAGTCGAATCTGACCCATTGCGACCCCTCCTTGGGTTTCCAAGGTAGTATCGCTATGGAAGTAGATTGCCCAATCTTCCTTCTGAGGAGTATCTGGTGGATTTGAAGTGCCAGCCTTCTGGTTAGCAGTCAAATGCCTTAGGCACTATGCCACCAGAACTCCTCACTAGCCATTAGGGAGACAGAAATCAAAACAACAATGAGATACCATCTTGCCCCAGCACTAGTAGCAAAGTTCAACAAGAAAATAATAAATGCTGGAGAGAATGTGGAGAGATTGGGACTCTCATACACTGCTGGTGGGACTGTCAAATGATACAACCGCTGTGGAAAACGGTATGCTGATTCCTTAAAAAGTTGGAATTAGAAATAGGTATATGTCCTAAAGAAGTGAAAGCCAGAACAAGAACAGATATATGCACCCCATGTTCGTTGCAGCACTATTTACAATAGCTAAAAGATGGAAACAACCTAGATGCCCATGAACTGAGGAATGGATAACCAAACTATGATACATACACACAATGGAATACTATGTAACCATAAAATGTAACATAGAATTTGCAAAACACCACATAACGTGGATGAACTTGGAGGACGTTATGCTGAGTGAAATAAGTTAATCACCGAAGGACAAATATTGTGTTAGCCTGTTATTGTAAAAGTCAAGGAAAGATTTATATATGAAAGGAAATTTTCTTTGTTGGTTACCAGGGGTGGGAGAGGAAGGTAGGGAATACTGTTAGACAGGTAGAGATAAGTATTGATTTGGGTGAAGAGCAGGGCAATGTACCAAATGTGAGTGATCGACATGGTGGCATTGAGGAAGAGGAAGACATACAGAGGTACATGGGAGGTGCAGACAAAGATGAATCGTTCTGCACATACAATACTGCTTTGTCAGTGAAGGCAAACATGGGAATATGGGTAGATAGATGGGTGGACAGGTGGAACTATTAGGTATGTCTATGCAGCGGGGAGTGTACCCAAGACCATGTATAGGGTTGGCAGACAATGGTTCTACAAATGTATTTGTATGTTCTGTAAGAATTCCCAGGTATATAGTAGAGCTGACAAAGGACAAGTTTGTAGTCACTTCTTGGTCACAGCCAGCCAGAGGGAGTGAGTAGTTGAACCTGTGTGCTCGGGACCATCATTGCAGAGGACATCAAGCTCAATTGGCATAACATACTTATTTGTTCCACCTCCTACTTTGGTGAGTAACGACTAGGATCTTAAATGCTTGCAAGCAGCCATATAGATGCAACGATGGGTCTCTCCTCATCCAGAGCAAAGAAGAATGAAGAAACCAGATTCATGGAAACAATTAGTCCAAGCGACTGGTACACCATGTGATCCTCAGCCTATAGGACTATGAGACCAGAAGAACTAGATGGTGCACGGCTACCACTGTCAACCACTCAGAAGGGGATCTTTGTAGGAGATTCTAGATAGAGAGGGAGAACAATGTGGAACAAAATTCAAAATCAGTCTGTAAAAAAAGGGGGGGGGGACCAGGTTTGCTTGTCTGATAGAGACTGGTGGAACCCCTGAGACTATGGCCCCTAGCTGTCCTTCAGGTCTGGAACTGAACACACTCCTGTGGCTTCCAGCCAAACAAAAGACAGGCGTGTGAGCTGAACATTTACCTGAAGTAGATACACTCCTTGGAGAGATCAATCATGGGGAAAAGATAGGCTTCGTATGCACAGGGAGACAGCTCAGAGGGCAGGAGTGTATGGGAGGGAAGGGCACAGGGAAGAGGTGGCTATGGGGAGGATTGCTGTTGCATTGTGGGAGATTACAGTCAATGTCATGAGACAAAGTATATGTGAACTGCATGGAAGATGAGTTTGCTCTGTAAACGTTCACCCAAGTCATAATAAAGTTTTTTTAAAAAAAGAAAAAAGAATTTTAGTTTAAATTTATTGGGGGTAGGGTGTGGGAAGTGTTGCAGAACTAAACTGAAGATCATAGCTATTCCAAGGGAGCTTCAAAAAATGCTAGGCACAGGGGCTTGGGGAGGTAGCACCAAGCCTATTTGGACTGACTTTTCTAGATTTCCTGCTCTGACTGAAACCCTCTGGTGGCTTATCTCAGAACTTGGGGATTGTCTTAGGCCAGAAATCCCCTGAAGGTTTGGGGAGCATCTACTACATTATGGCCCCTAGATTAGTCAGAGTGATACTTGCCTGGGAAACTAAAAGCTGATGTTCTCTCTCAGGAGTCCTTAATCTTTCTGAGCACTGAGTCCCTTGAGAATCCAACAGAAACTGAGGATTCTTTCCCCACAAAACTGCACCTTTGTACATTCAAACAAAATGGTTCTTTTAGTTTTTGTGATAGTCTCAAATCTCTGGGTCCCAGATCAAAAACTCTTGCTCTACAGGGCTTCCTATTTCTGCACCCAGGCCCCACCCATTTACCAGGTCAGTGGGTGTTTCCTTCAACCCTGGGTTATAGAGCACTGGAGGCCTGAGTTCCTTTTCAGCCTGATTCTTAGATGTCTCCAGCTTTCGTGGGGCGCTCTGGGAAGTAGCATGTGTACCAGAAGATGGGAGTGGTATCTGGCTCTGGGACTGCTACTAGTGTCTTGGCCATTCCTGGTGAACAGAATTCAAGGTAATTTTCACAAATTGTTTGCTGTGATGGTGCACCGAAGGCAAGGTCAGATGGAAAGGGGAGATGGGATGTGGTTCAGCCCTAGATTTGGGGTCTCCAGGCAGTAGGTACTACCATCCTAGCTAGTAACAGGACTATGGTGAGCTTGGGGAACCTTTGTTCATATCAGAGAACTAGACGCTATGTCATTTCGCAAGGGGAAGTGACAAAAACAAGACCCTGGGGGGAAGGGGAAGTAGGTCCCATGGCTGGTAGTTTGTAAAGTTGGGGGAAAGGTTTTTTTTTTTTCACATTTTGAACAGAGAGGAAGCTCCACACTGATGGCTGTTACATTATTTATGCTCAGACACGATATGCTCCCTTAAACATTTGAAATTTTCTCCTCTGTCTCCTGAGTCGTGTCCCAAGTCAAGGTAAATTATATTGCCATTGTCCAACAGATATGTGAAAACTGCAGGGAGATGAGATAGTGATATGTAGAAAAAAACCACTGGCCACTCATGCATGGCCTCAGTGGGTAGTAGTAATTTAGGTCTGGTTCATAACTGTGAGGCTATAGGTACACCATCAGGGCACTTAGACCTGGTTGGGCTCTGTACAGATGATTCATCTCATAGGATACTGCTATGCCTTAGGGAGTGGGACCTGAAGTGAAGTATTAATCCAACTTCTGGGATTCTCTCTGTTAAGAGAACTGAAATGTTTCAGGGAGCTTATATGGTTATGGGAGCTCTGGTGGTATAGTGCCTAAGGCATTTGACTGCTAACCAGAAGGCTTGTGGCAAACCCACCAGCCACTTCTTGGAAGGAACGTTGGGCAATCTACTTTCATAGTGATGTTGTTGTTATCATGTGCTGTTGAGTCAGCTCTGAGTCATAGTGACCCCTCCTTGGGTTTCTGAGGTGGTATCACTACAGAAGTAGATTGCCAAACCTTCCTTCCGAGGAGTGACTGGTCCATAGTGATACTGCCTTGGAAACCTATGAAGGGGTCACTGTGAGTTGAAATTGACTCAATGGCAGTGAGTTTGTTTTGTTTTTTTTTAAATATGATTTACAGAAAATCTTATGGCATATGCAAGTCTTCAGATTCTCAGGTGAATGCCATTTCCATTGCACACTGGCTAAGTCTGCTAAGTGCTTTTGGGGTACAGGGAAGGCACCTAGTGGAAGAGGGTGTAGTGAATTATTGCCTTGAAACCAGAGAGCCTAGAACAATCAAGGCTGAGTAAGGAAAAAAGGGGAGAGCTAAGAGTGCTCCTCACACTTTTCCACAGAATCACTCCTTACTACTTTACAAAAGAACTGGGAACCAGAGATCACTAGGCAAGAAGCTGCTCAACCTCCTGTCCATCATCTGGAAACTAGAAATTTCTCTGTATCATGAATTGCCTTTTCTCTCTGAGGCTGAGGTATCCTCCATCTCAGCCAAAACCCACGCCTTCACCTCTTCTCTTAGTCCCCTGCAGCCCAGTCATTCTTCGCCCCCCTGTTTCCAACTTCTCCTCCACTGGCCCCTTCCCTTAGCCTATGGATGGCTTAAATCTTTCCCTTCTTAAGTAAAACTAAAAACAAAACAAAACTCTTTATCTCTCATGCCCCTTTACCTCTTACCCAATCATTCTCCTTCCCATTCCCACTTACATTATGAAGATAATAGTTTACTTTTGTTGTCTTCTCTTCCTCACTTTCTGTCTAGTCCTTAACTCATTGCAATCTGGCCCACTAAATGGACTCCAATTTCACTAAATGGCACCATGTTCATCTTGTCATCCAAGATACAAATCTGGAATCTTAATATCTATTGTCAAATTACTTCCTAAACAATTGTACAGGCTTGTATAAATATTTGATCCCCAATGGGGATACAGCAGTATCTTTAAAACTTTCCTCTTTAAGAGATTTTACAGAGTAATTTACTTGGTTTCAGAGTAGTCAGAACTTCCTCTTTAGAATCTCTTTCTCTTTCCTGGGTGTGCTCTTTGGTGTGAGACATGACTTCCTTTTATGTGAATTATTTTCTCCAGTCAATTCTGCTTATCTATAGATAAGAAACATGGCTGGAAACAGGCAAGATATGCTTTTTTTTTTTTCCTGTTGTTTACTAAATATAAATATCCTAAGCATCCAGACACATTATCAACTACTTCTTTCTGGTAGAATTAAATTAAAAAAAAAAAAAAAAACTGTAGCTTTCTGTAAAGTTACTTCCCCTACCATCTAAAAGATGCAATTGTTAGGGATGTAAATCAAGATTTTATCAAAATGCTTTAATAACTGAAAAAATTGCCAATCAGTGGAGGAATGGATCAACAAACTATGGTACATACACACAATGGAATACTACCCAACATTAAAGAACAATGATGAGTTTTTAAAACATAACATGGATGAACTTAGAGCTTATTATGTTGACTGAAATTAGTCAATCACAAAAAGACAAATATTGTATGAGACTATTGTAAAAAGTCAAGAAAAAGATTTCACAAAAAATAGAAATATTATTTGATTATTACTGGGGATCAGTGGAGAAGGAATGGTAAACCGCTAACTAGAGGGTAGACACATATTAATTTGGTGAAAGAAAAAAAAAAAGAGAGAAGATGAAGAAGCTCAATATCATCAGTCACAAAAATGCCAGGGTCTGACTGCAAGGAAGAAAAAGAATTGAAAAAGAATACATAAATATTTTATAAATAAGAAAAATATCAATTTATAAATTTATGAATTTATTAGAGAATCCTCTATTAGCAGAGGCTCCAACATTTCCCCATTCACAAATTGTTACAATGTTTTTGCATCAATTTCGTAGTCTATATTATTATTAAAATTAATCCTTTCTTCAACTTGTGAGCAGAGTATAGAATAGTCTCAGAGGGCTGAATATATGTTTTTCCTTTCTTTTATGGTCTGCCAAGAGTTGATTCTATCTTCAGGTTCATGTTGTTTTTCCATTAGATATTTCATTAGATATTTCACAATAAAGTTACTTACTTTCCAGAATCTTTAAGGAGGCTACTGAGACTAATGAGTTTGTATTTCAAGGTTTCCTTCAGCTACTTTATGCTTACTTACAGGTATTATAGATATCTGGAATCTTGAGTGCTATTCTCAATGCCCTCCCATATTGCTTTTTCTGATAATTCTTGGGCACCTTGGGCACAACTTCTGCTCTGCTTTCTCTGTCACACTGTTGTTGTTGGATGTTGTCAAGTCTGTTCCAACTCATAAAGTGACCCTATGTACAACAAAAAAAACACTACCTGGTATTACACCATCCTCACAATTGTTGCTATGTTTGAGCCTGCAGTTGCAGCCACTGTTTCAATTCATCTTGTTGAAGGTTGGAAGAACCTTTTTCACTGATCCTCTACTTTACCAAGTGTGATGTCCTTCTCCAGAACTGGTCCTTCCAGTAAGATGTCCAAAGTATGTGAGATGAAATCCCACCATCCTTTCCTTTATGGAGCATTCTGGCTGTACTTCTTCCAAGACAGATTTGTTCGTTCTTCTGTGACACTGTTGTTGTTGTTGTTGTTATTTGCCATCGAGTCAGACCCGACTCATAGTGACCCCTCCTTGGGTTTCTGAGGCAGAAACTATGGAAGTAGATTGCCCAACCTTCCTTCCGAGGAGTGGCTGGTGGGTTTGAACCGCCAGCCTTCTGGTTAGCAGTCAAGTGCCTTAGGCACTACTAGTAATCTTTTATTAATTTACTCAGAACCCAATCATAAGACAGGGCTCCAATGGTATAGTTTGGACACAATATCCTAATAGAGAAACACAGTCTACTAGTCAATAATAATTAATAATAACTCAAATCTCTACTTGCAATCTCTCAAAAAGATGTGAAAGAGAATCCACTTTACATATAGCAACACTTCCTACAATCCCCTTTCCTGCACTCTTCAACCTTTTCAAACTCTTCCTCTCCATCTGCTGCCCAGAGATTCTCATTCTTTGTGTTATTAACACTTATGTCCTAAGCCCAACCTGGGTGACTCTTGTTTCTCCTCCTTCCTTCTTGTCTCTTCAAGCTAAACTATCCTTAAGGAGGAGGCAAGAGGGAGAAACTGAGTGGGAAGTAAAAATGTAAAAACTTATTTTTGCCTGGCTTGAGGTCATGGAGAGAAGAAGAAGGTTGGGAACACTTTAGTATACATTTTGTCCCTATTACACACTCATTCATTCATTCATTCATTGAACACGTATTAAGCACAAAATGTGAGTCAAGTACAGTGGGAATTAAATTTGAGTAAGACATGGTTTTTAAGCTTTGAGAAGCTTACAATCTTAGTGATTATGTGTCTGCTATAGTTTCTCCTCCTCCTTCAGACTTCACTTTGAAGCTCTTTCAAGCAGTCTTGGGACACCCTTGTCAAACATTGTTATTATTCTTATAAGAACACCTTATTGTTCTTATAAAGTAGATTCTATTATTGCAAGGAGAAATGATGCAAATTATAAATGGATCTGGACCATGATTTGAGTCTAATTGCTCTGTACTCTTCATTTCTCATTGAACCATGCTCACCTTTCCTTTCCCAAAGAAGCTTCAAGGACATTCTCTGGTCTTAGGATGATGCTGGGATTCTCTTACTTTGCCATCACATGTCCTAGACCTGTTTTTGTGCTATCTTTTATCTGTTTTTTTTAACCTGATACACATACCTCCTGTGTGTACTGATGTCTTTCATTTTTAGACTATCAGGTTACACCTGAATGCTTATTCAAAAGCTGCTACAAATTGTTAGGCCCCTTGTTCCTTATTCTTCACTCTTTCAAATTCAGATTGATGTCCACCAAATATTTATTATTGGACTAGTCCTTGTTTTAGTTATTTTACCACTATTTTGGTGAAATAAAATAACTTCAACAAGCAATTGTTAAGTATCTCAATAGTTTTAAGCATAGTGTTAGGTGTTGTTGATACAGAGAAGAATGTAGGCAATAATAATAAAACAACAATGCATGACCTTTATAGAATGCCTACTAATCTTCCAGGTATTATTCTAAGCATTTTAATTGCATTAATTAGTTTAATCTTCACAATAACTCTATGCAATAAATACCATCAACAGCCTATTTTATAGATGGGAAAAAAAAGGCTGAGAGGTTAGGTAACATGCTTAAGGTCATACAGCTCATAAGTGGCAGAGCCAAGATTTCAACCGAGGCAATATGATTCCAAAGTCTATGCTTTTAACCATCATACTTTGAACAGGAAAAGAAAAAAGACTTATAAGAGTCCTTTTTTGTCCTTGAGAAGTTTATAGGCAAGTGATAGAGGTGTGTAGCAGACATTAAACAGATCATTTGAATGTAATATGAGTACTAAAATATAGACACACAAAGGATGTATATCTTTCCTCCCTCTCTCCTTAACCACCTACATGTAATGATTCTAAAAAGATAGCCACCCTAGGGATTGGCTGTAACTTCTCACTGGGAGATAAAGAAGTAGTTAATTGTGGGTTGTGCTATCTTCCGAAGCATATGCCTGAGGCTTGTTGGAGAATTTCCTAAGGATGATCTAGGCCAATGGTTCTCAAGTGGGGAGATTTTGCCCCACAAGGGATATTTGGCAATGTCTAGAGACATTTTTGAATGCCACACCTGAAGAGATCCTGCTGGTATCTAGTATGTAGACATCAGGGATGTTGCTAAGCAACCTGTAATGCACAGGACAATCCCCACAACAAAGAATTATCTAGCCCAAAATGTCAACAGTGCAGAGGTTGAAAAACCCTGATGTAGGCCATCTATTATCACCCACTTCTAGTAATTTATGTGGAAAAAAGTTTGACAGAATGAGAACAAGCCTGGAATATGTGTCCAGTGATTTTCAAATCCTGGAGAGATTGTCCTGCTAGGCTTTATGCTCCAACAGGCCAAAGACTGTGTCTGCGTTGCTCATTGCTGATACCAGAGCCTCGCACAGTGCCAGATACATAGTTGTTGTTCAAAACTGTTGCTTGGACTGAACAGATAAAACATGGAATGGACCAATCATAATTAAACCAAACTCACTTCCATTGAGTCAGTTCTGACTCATAGAGACCCCCATTTGGTTTCCAAGGCTATAAATCTTTATGGAAGCAGATTGTCTCAGTCAGAAGCACTGTAGAAGTGAATGCCTAGGTGTATCTGCATGTGTACCTGGTGCATATAGTAAGTGCTTAATAAATGTTGAATGGATGGCATGTAATAACAACATGGCTGGAGAATGAATGAAGAGGAACTTGAAAGCCTTAGGAGTGCAGCCATTTTATCTTTTAATGGATAAAATTTGTATTTTCAGAAAGGAAAAATATTGCAGAAAATAAACAGCTAGGTATATACCTGATGTTGAAGAATAAAATAAGACTTTGTGTGGCAGTATTTGAGACCAAGTGAAATGGGTCACATTCCTTCCTTTCTTTATCTTTAGCTTCTTTTTACTGCTCTTTCTCAGTAATTTATATATTTAGTTCTCTTCCTTCCACTAAACAGCCAACAGTTCTCCCATAATCTTGAACCTTCTAAAGATTATCTTTTTATTCTCCTTGCCTTAACCATATCGATTTTTTTTTTTTTTAATCAGCATATACAATTTGAAGTACTCTGGTGAAGAAAAAGAACAAAACTGTAAATGAAAAATCAAAAAAACAAACTTACTGCCGTTGAGTTGATTCTGACTCATAGCAACCCCTCCTTGGGTTTCTGAGGTGGTATCTCTACAGAAGTAGATTGCCCAGTCTTCCTTCACAGGAATGGCTGGGTTTGAACAGCCAGCCTTCTGGTTAGCAGTCAAATGCCTTAGGCACTCTGCCACCAGAGCACCTATAATTATAAATAGGAAGAGAAATAAAAGTGACTTCAATTAGAATGGAAAAAATAAATCCCAATGAATTATAAGTTTTAAAAAGAAAAGTCAACAAAGGCTGGGCCATCCTTTCTCACTGCTTTCTCTAAGGTGGTTCTCACTCTGTCACTCTGATCTGATTGGCAGCTCATTCGACACGTGAGATTGTGGTCTCTGGCAGCAATGTGAGCCTGACTGTCTCCAAGCTTAAGCCTGATAGCTACAAAGAACTTAGCTGGATATACGCCCCAAGACAGAAAATTGTAACATGGACTAGGAAGAGAAATCCTGAGTACTTCAAATCTGAATTTCAGGACAAGTTCCATCTTGATGACAACGGTACACTTCACATTTATAATGTCCGAGAAAATGACAGCAGCACCTATCTCCTGCAGGTATTTACGACAGAAGGACATGAGCATGAGTGGCAGATCTCACTCGAGGTTTATGGTGAGTGAGGGGAGACAAAAGGCCCAGAATGACTACTGGGAGCATTCCTGGGGGCCCTGGGAACACTCTCTGGGAAGAGGAAAGTGAAACCTCAGGTCAGATTCAATTCATTTCTCCTAGAACTTGTCTCACTTGGGAATGACCTGGCACAGCAGACTCCAAAATTTACCGCCATAGGGAGCTAAAAAACACCTTCTGAAGTCAGTGAGACTAAGGTTTAGAGACAAGGAAAACAATAAATTCCCTTCATTCTCTCCCATCTATCAACCCAAATCAGTTCTGAGCTTATCGTAATGATATCTCTGAACAAAGACTTCATCTGATTTGAGAAAAAAGAGAGGAGAGACAAAACAAGGGTGGAAGGAGGCAGGAGCTATGAAGGAGGATTTTTCACCTTTCAGAATGGATACAATAGTCCTTCACTGCTTCCACTCATAGTTCCTGCCTGACCCAGTTGTATGGGATAAGGATAGAATGCTATACTTGGAGTCAGAAAGACCTGGGTCCAGTAACTTACTAGGTCTATGACTTTGGGCAAAGATCTTAATATCTCTGCTTATAGTAGGTAAAGGAGCTCTGGTGGCATAGTGCCTAAGGCATTTGACTGCTAACCAGAAGGCTGGCGGTTCAAACCTACCAGCTACTCCTTGGAAGGAAGGTTGGGCAATCTACTTCTGTAGTGATACCGCCTTGGAAACCCAAGGAGGGGTCGCTATGAGTCGAGTCTGACTTGACAATGCATAACAACAACAACAATGTAGTAGGTAAGATTCTTATGATGGCTGGTAGCAGAAAGCAATTCAATGTAAATTTAGCAAGAAATGAGAATTTATTTCAAGGAATTAGAGTTATTTAAAGAATTCAAGGGGTTTGAAAGATTCAGGAAGGGCTAAAGGGAAGAAAGAATAGTTACAAGAGCCAGTCCAGATGCGGCAGTTTAAGAAATCTGAGCTGCACTGTGGACTCCTCCCATGTGCACTAGTATCTCCCTAAGCCTAGACTTTTGTATCTTTCCATTTAAATTCTCAAGAGAGAAAAACTGATTGGCCCAGTTTGGTTCAGATATATATATCTTGGAGAGATCCCAAACATTTATGGCCAAAAGGTCCAGGTTATGGAAAGTAGAAACATGGTTCCTGGGGAGACCTCTCTAGGATTGCAGTGGGCAATTATTAGAGAAGTGGAACTGAGACGACTTTTAAGATGAATGTTCACCTTAGAGCCTTGGCTTTCTCATTATATAATGAAGATAATTATATTTATCTTTTAGGGTATATGAAAATCAAAGTAGATAATGAAAGTGAAAACACCTTCAAAATTCTAAAATACAGTACAAATGTACAATATTGGATGTATTCAGTCTCCATCAGCCAAATAGTCCTTGTGTAAGAAGCCAGAGTCCCCCTCTTACTCATTCATTGCTCCATTCTATATGGTTGAAATTCAGAAGGCCTTGGGAGAAGAAAAGATTAAAAATCATCTATAGTATAGCCATCTATGGTACTCAGCTCTGTGAGAGGGGGGAAAAAAAAGCCCTAATTTATAGTATTTGTTGTTGTTGTTGTTGTGATGTGCCGTCGAGTCGGACCCGACACGACGGCAAACAACAACAACAACAACTTATAGTATTAACCAATTTTTGTGGCATAAAGACTGCCTTCAAGGGTGCTATCAAACTATTAATGGTTTAACATGTAGTTTGCAAAATATCAGAATATTTAAAAGACACCATAAGAAAAGAAAATTGCAGGCCAATAGCACTTATAAATACAGATGCAAAAATCCTCCACAAAATACCAGCAAACAGAATCCAACAAGATATTAAAAGAGTCATACCACGACCAAGTAGGATTTATTCCAGAATGCAGGAGTAATTCAACATTAGAAAAACAATCAATGGGAAAGAGCCTTGTCATTTCTATGGATGCAGGAAAAAAAAATTTGATAAAATGCAACACCCTTTCTTGATGAAAACTCTCAAGAGGATTGAAATACAAGGGGAATTCCTCAATATAATTAAGGGCAGACATGAAAATTTTATCTACCTTTTAGGGTGTTAAACAGCTAAGATTATATTCAATGAAGAAATATTGAGAGATTTTCCCTTGAAACTGGGAACAAGACAACAGTGCTAAACAGACTCAAATGGACTAGAAAGAAAGGCCTGGCAATGTATTTCTGAAAATCAGCTGATAAAAACCCTACAGATCACGTTGGAACTGATCGCAACTGATCATGGGGTGGCACAGGACTGGGCAGTGTTTTGTTCTGTTGCACAGGGGGTCTCCACGAGTCAGGGCTGACTCACTGACAGCTAACAGCAACAACAGCAGATGAAAAGATCTCAGAGTATTTCAGGTAAACCCAGCCATAGTCAAGGAAGGACGAGAAGGTGAGATTATCTCTCATCCAACTTGGTAGTAGAAGAACAGTAAAGGCAGTTCTCAGGTAACAACCAGTAGTTGCAAGCCAACCCCCATAAAGCTTATTATATTAAAAGTTTGAGGTACATACCATGGTTTGTAATAACAAACGGGCACTACTTTGTGATGTGAATTGTTGTTGTTGTTGTTGTTGTTATGTGCCGTCGAGTCAGACCCGACTCATAGCGACCCCTCCTTGGGTTTCTGAGGCGGTATCACTACGGAAACAGATTGCCCAACCTTCCTTCCATGGGGTGGCTGGTGGGTTTGAACTGCCAACCTTCTGGTTAGCAGTCAAATGCCTTAGGCACTATGCCACCAGAGTTAGAACACTATTATTATTATTACTGTATTATTATGTTGAAGATGTTTTCAGTGTATCTGAAAGTATTTCTTTAATGTTTTTTATGCATAGAAAGGTATACTATATATGACATACTAAAACAAATATTTGATAACATTGTATAAGTTATATAAGCACTGTACCTAACTGTTCCAATCTACGTGTAAATTCGACTTGAAGACAGATTTAGGAATTTACCTTGTTCATAATCCAGAGACTGTCTATAGTGATAATAATGTGACCTCTAACATGTATATAACATTTATACTTTGAACAAACCTTTTCCTTATGTATGATGTCTTTTATCTCACTAACACTCTGAAGTAGTATCATTTTACTGTTGAGGAAGAGGAAGTTCAAGAGGCTTAATCCCCTTGCCTAATGTCACTCCACCAGAGCCAAATCCAGGACCGAGGCTGGTCTCACTCTAAAGCTAGCTTTTTGCCTGTTCTGTCACATAACTAGGAGCTGTGGTGGTGCAGTGGTTAAAGCACTCACTACTAACCAGTGTTGTGCCCAGGTTATGAAGGAGTAGTTCGGGGTGAATAATTTGCCAACATACGACAATGCAAAAAGCAATAGGAAAGTTTAGTAGCTAACTTAAGTTAGGGTCCTTGCTTTCACCCTCGCAATGGGTTGAGCAAAAGACCCTGTGCTCTTACATTAAGAGATCTTTTATAGAGAAACATAGGGTGGAGTAGATAATTTGGTTTTTATGATAGGGGTTTGGGAATTTGGGGCAGGTTGGAATTCCCCCGGTTTCAAAGGTGAGTGAGAGATTTCTCGGGGCCAGGTGGATCTCTTTGATATGTGCATACTCTCTGCGAAACCCCGTGGGTTGAAAGCCCTCATAGTCTTCAAAGGTGGGTGAGAGGCTTTTTGGAGCCATGCAGATTTCTGATAAAAGGCTCTGAGGTATGGGACATTTACTACAGGTATTAGGGCTCAGCATGGGATGTGTCAATCTACCTGGAGGCATTAGGGCTTAGCATGGGACGTGTCAATCTCCATACTAAAGGCTTCTGGTTAAAAGATCTTTCAGGCTTTACACCAGAAGGTCAGAGGTTCAAACCCACAGCTCCGTAAGAGAAAGACAAGGCAGTCTGCTTCTGTAAAGATTTATAGGCTTGAAAACCCTAAGGGGCAGTTCTACTCTGTCCTACATGGTCAATTTGAGTTGGAATTGACTCAATGGTGGTAGGTTTCCTTTGGTTTCAACACATAACTACTTCATCCATCTATCCTTTCATCAGATACTTATATAATGTCTAGTATATGACAGAGAACTCTGGTGGCATAGTGCCTAAGGCATTTGACTGCTAACCAGAAGGCTGGTGGTTCAAATCTACCAGCCACTCCTCAGAAGGAAGATTGGGCGATCTACTTCCGTAGAGATACTGCCTTGGAAACCGAAGGAGGGGTCACTATAAGTCGGATTCGACATGGCGGCTGTGAGTTTTTTTTTTTTTCCCCCAGTATATAGCAGTCACAGTGCTAGATACTTGGATAGCAAAGTTAACAGACAGACACAATACTGTTCATCAATGCTAACATGCATTGGGGCTTACAGGAGATTCTTCTCTATAACTTGGCTAGAATCCAGGAGGATGGCACCCCCACCAGTGGTTGTGCAGAGGATTTTGCCTTGTGAGGGCCAGTATCTCCTACCCCAGAACTCTCTCTGACTCTGAGCCTGAAAGGATGAGTCAAAGAACTCTTGAAAGACAGAAGGTCCAAAGTGCCAACTGTGGGCTATTGCTAGAGAAGGGCCTTGGACAGATAAGACTGTTGGGATACCAAGGTTGAGGTTAGCAGATCTCTGGGCTAAGACTCTGCTGCTGTCTCTGGCTCATATAAGGTCACAACCCTAGTTTGTTGTTAGATGCATGTAATGGACTCTGACTCCCCCTCCTGGATTCAGCTTAGCTTTACCTCCAAGGGAGTTGTAGCTTGTGCCATCAGAAGCCTCATGAGGCTAAAGCTACTCACTGGCTCCCTCTGTAGGGGCGTCTTCTTCATAACTCTCTACTTCCCACTATGGACACTCAAGGGGGCAGGGCTCCCTTTGTATTTTGCTAGCCTAACCCTTGTGACATAAAATCCTCCTAAATGCCTAAATTATTGTTTTATCTTATAACATCCTTCCCATCTCCAGATCCTGTATCCAAGCCTGGCATAAAAATTGAGATGACAAAGGAAGTGAATAATAGCTGTTATGCAAAACTATTATGTGAGACCTTGGACCGGCATGTAAATTACACCTGGTATGGGGACTCAGGGCCTTTTTCCCAGGACCTCCAGAACAGTGTGCTTGAAATCATCCATACACCAGAAAATCACTCCAACTTTTATACCTGCCAAACCAGCAATCCTGTGAGCAGAAAGAATGACACAGTCTATTTCACTGCACCCTGTACTCTAGGTAAGAACTATCTGTGAGGGATCTGGGGAAATGAGGTGGGCATGGGTAACTAGTTTTCCCCTGAATGAAGAACTGTGTGGGGATCCTACTCAGCCTTCTCTAACACAACTTGGTGGAGAATTGCAAAGTGCCTGTGAGCATGGGAGACTTAGGTCTTACTCCTAGTTCTGCCACCACCTCTCAGCAAACTCACTTCATCTTTGTGGATCTGAGTCCTCATCTGCAAAGAGGGGTATGCTTTGTATCTCTGATGGCCCTCCCAGCTCTAACAAAGCGCAGTCCTAAAATCTGAGGCCAGCGTCATTGTAGGACAGTCTAATCCATCAGGGTGAGCAGAGGGAAAAAGAGCAGCAGAGGAAAGAAGGACTGAGTAGAGGAGCATAAGTAAGACTAGTGAATATCCTAGGGTGAAGACTGTTCAATCACAGGTTTGTGCTCCTGGGTAGGTTTATAAGGAGCTCTGGTGGCATAGTGCCTAAGGCATTTGACTGCTAACCAGAAGGCTGGTGTTTCAAACCCACCAGCCACTCCTTGGAAGGAAGACTGAGCAATCTATTTCCGTAGAGACCACCTCAGAAACTCAAGGAGGGGTCATTGTGAGTCGGAACCAATTCAATGGCAGTGGTTTTTTTTTTTGTTGTTGTTGTTGTTGTTGTTGTTTTTTGTCACACCTGAGGTTAAGCCTGAGGTTGTCACTTAGTAGGTAGACAAGTTATTTAACTTTTCTACTCCATGTTCTCCTTAAGTAAAAGACAAAATAATAGTTCTTATCTCATGGGATTATAAGGAGGATTGAGTGTGACAATCTATGTAACCTATACAGCATGTTGTTGTTGTTGTTATGTGCCGTTGAGTCAGTCCCGACTCATAGTGACCCCTCCTTGGGTTTCCAAGGCAGTATCATTACGGAAGTAGGATTGCCCAATACAGCATAATGCCTATCATCTAACAAGTCCCCAGTGAATGGCCACTAAATTAGGTTGTCTCTTGAGCTGTGGAGATACTAGAGGCTTTGGGGATCCCTTAATAAATTTGGGTGACTACCTCCCATTCTTCTGAAGTTATATCACTGATCCCTGGTGTACACAGTCTTCCAAAATAACTCATGACTGTAATACCCACATTTGTCTGCCAGTCCCTGTCATGTCTAGTAATCAGGGATCACAGCCCCGGAGACATTGTTCTCTAGAGATCCTCCATGACTCAGACTACCATTCCGGACTGTCCTTGTTTCTTTCTCTCTGCTTCCACACCTGGACTTGGGAACCTGTACTCTTTTTATTCTTCCTAACTAATTATTCATGTCCCTTCTACCCTCTCTTAACATGCCACCACAGACCCAATGTGACAGTTAATTTTGGTGCCTGATCATGAAAACATAATTTGGCTGGAGGGTTTCAACATCACTTTCTCATCAATACCAAATCCTGAGATCCATAAGAAGGAAGAGGCACAATTTTTGTTCCTTATAAAATGAGGGGTGACTGCTCATCCACAAAAAGGATCAAATAAATAATATACTCATTTTTTGAAAGGGCTAAAGCTATTTTGTCATGTTTAGCCACCCCAAGTCATCCTAGAAAAACTCCTAATATGCCTCTCCCTATCTTGTCACCCATTCTCTTTTTCTTTTCTCCTTCCTTCCTTCCTTCTTTCCTTCTATCCCTGTTTTCTTCCTTTCTCCCTCCCCTCCTCTCTCCCTGCCTCCTTCCTTTCCTCTCCTCTTTCCCTTCATCTCTTCCTTCTTTCCTTCTTCCCTTTTATCCTTCCTTCCAACCTATTTTTCCTTCTCCCCTTTCCTTCTATTTGTACAAATGGCTAGAGGGGTGGAGAAACAAGAAAAGGAAGCAGTCCTTCCTTCCCCAAAGTCAGCTGCATATAGCATGATATAGTTATTTGTCCATACCCGAAGCTCTTCCCTCCCTCATTAAATATATGTATATATATGTTTAAATACAGTCACTACCATCGAGTTGGGAGCTCTGGTAACACAGTGGCTAAGGCACTTGACTGCTAACCAGAAGGCTGGTGGTTCAAACCCACCAGCCACTCCTCAGAAGGA